GTACGTTTTTTATGCCCTGCTCCGGAGTCGCCATTGCCGATGTGATACATGCAGTTCTCTGAAGGCAGAAACGCATATATCTTCCACGCCTAACAGTCAGCTCGGCGCCTTGTGGGCTGTTTTTCTGCTAAAACTGTTGAGATACGAGGTAGACGGGCCATGTGAAGCAGGAAAAGGCCGCGTCCCAGCATTAGGTGACTAATCATTTAAGGGCGGATCAGACAGGCACCGGTTGGTTAGTCCCTTGTAGATTCCTACGGATATGCTATTTCTGTCTCTTGCAAGAATCCGATGTCAGATAATAGCAGAGATTAATTATCGCCTGGTTTCTAAGGTGTTGGTTTGGATGAAGTTTCAAATCAATAATTGCCTTGAGGAGGTTATTTTGTGAATATGTTATGCATAACATTCAGAGGTTCTTTTTTATATCGGTGCCAATGCTCCCACTCAGTAATAATAAATTAGAGTCCAGTGAGGATCAGAAAGGAATGATTGTAGGATAAGCTGATACAGCAAGTTGCTTATAATTTCCTCCGCTTAGGAAAATAAGTTTTTTTTATTTTAAATTAGCTCAGGAATGGAATATACCATTGGTACAGTTTACTCCGGCCTATCTAGAGGATGAGTGTCCTATTGCTTCGCTAATATACTTAATTAATTTTATTCGACGGGCTAGCTGGGATTTAGCCAACGTTAGCCGGTTTGCAAAATTTGAAACCTTGTTCCATTTTACACAAAATAGGTGGCAAACGCGAAAATGATTATCTAGATGCCTGTATGACGCTTTACGGTGGAAACTTGAATAAAGCTATTTTTAACTTGCAACGTTGAGTTATAAGTTCGTTCGGTTATCTGGTCGGAGAGTTTCTATGTATTATGCCGAATGTGTTTAAAGAGGCGATGCTCCAAATATTATACCCAATTTAATTAGGCTTCCGTGAATACTATATATCAATAGGACAGTAATCCACTAATAATTATTCCTACTGGGTCTCATCAGAAAAGCCACGTTATTCGCCAGAACTTTGCAAATATTTATTTCGTGAATTCTTATGTTTCGACCCTCAGTAAACCATCAGTTTCAAACCTAACCAATAATATGAGAGTCGATAGATCCAGTCCACAATATATTCCGGAAGAGGAGGATGAGGCGATCTCTGGGGAAGAAGGTTTATTCATCTGACGTTTCGTGTTCATACTCGAGCACATCTTCGGAGATAGGCTGAGCGAGAAATACAGGGTTTAAATAGGCCATCTGCACTCTCACCCGATAGGTTCGTCCCGTTCGCTTCTGGTTGCCCCCCCCCCTCTCGCGCCTGGGTGGTGCCTGACGGCCTCGTATGGCGCTGGCAAATCGATACTTCGGTTGATAGAGTTCGTGTCTGATTTCCAGGCCTCGATTACTTCCCTCGCCAGTTTGCTTTCGGCTCCGCCGAGCACCTGGGCGCCGTCAAAGTCGAACTTGTGATTGTTTTCCAGGCAGTGCATGGCGACATGCGATAGTACGTCCTTTCGCCTTACGGCCAAAGTGTGCTCATGCATGCGCGTTCTAAGGCGTTTGTCGGTCATGCCACAGTAGTTGGCTGGACAGTCCAGACATTTGACGCGGTAAATAACGCCTGACGTGTCTGCAGGTGGTAGCCGGTCCTTGGGCTGCATGATTAAGCGGCGGATGGTGGCCTCCGGTCGGTGACCAACGCCCACGCCTAGCGGCCTTAGCATGCGCTCAGTGGCTTCGGAGACGTTACTCACGTAGGGCAAGACACGGAAGATTTCTGGTCTTTGTTTCTTCTCACCGTCCGTCTTCGTGTGCCTTCGGTACAAGCATTTGTTCACAAAATTGCGTGGATATCCATTGGCAAGGAAGAGGCGCCATAGGGTTTTACGCTCCCGCAGCTTCTCGGCTTCTGTGCTGCAGTGTGTGTGGATGCGGCGAAAAAGGGTCCGGACACAACTGCGCTTATGCGACAGGGGGTGATTGCTGTTGTAATGAAGAATTTTCTCCGTGTCTGTCGCCTTTCGAAAGACACCAGTCTGGAGGGTTCCGTCTTCCTGCCTCGATACCTGGACGTCGAGGAAAGGGAGCACTTCGTGAACACACTTCCTGGAAAGACTAAAAGACGTCACAATAGCCCCCGACGAAATAATGGTATCTTTTGACGTCGTCTCTCTATTCACCTCCATCGCTAAAGAATTGGCCATGAGAGCTGTCGATGGCCTACTGAAGAAAAGGTACGACGAAGAAGGAAAACCTTTTAAGAGGAGGCACGCGATGGAACTACTGGACTACTGTTTACCCACGTACTTCACGTTTAACGGCCAAATTTACGAGCAAATCCAAGGAGCCCCAATGGGGTCCCCAATCTCCGGCTACCTGGCTGAGGCGGTCTTGCAGGAACTGGAAACTCGGGTCTTCCAGACATACAAGCCGAAATTCTGGATGCGCTACGTAGACGACAC